TATATATATATATATATATATAAATATATACGTAAAGATAGAGAACAGAGATAGAAAGAGACGGGAATTTATGTTTAATTTTCTTCAAAGCATCGTGCGTACCTCATGCTTGTCCTTTCCCTCGACTTTGAGCTTTTTCTTTTTCTTTTTCTTCTTCTTCTTCGATTCGGCCTCAGATGAGCTACGTAATATCCATTTATTATTTACTTCCACCATATAACTTACGTATAAGTTTTTATAATCAATGTCGATTAAATAATCTTATACTAAAATAAATTGTTTAATATCATTCCCCTCTTTTTTATAAAAATAAATTAAATTAACAAATTTTTGAAACATTGTGTGATAGAAAATGCTTTCATTTTATTTTATAAAAATTATCAGCATAAAGAACTATTATTATTGCAATATTTAATAGATAAATTGATTATCGTCATTACTTGCTATCATCGGAATCCTCACTGGAGTCGCTGTCAGACGATGTGGCCTCGATTTTTTTATGCTTTTTCTCCTTCTTTCTCTTTTTGGACTTTTCTTTCTTCTTGCCAGACTTGGGAGATTCGGATCTATGAAATCGGAGATTGAGTAATCGTTACAAGAGTTTCGAGGCGATAGTATCTTTTTTAGTTTTGTCAAACGATATTTAGTCTTATATAACTCTTGCAGTGGGCGTCTTCCTGTCGACAAGTGCATACCTTTGTGCTGACAATATATAAAGAAAGCTGTAGTATACAACGTATCAGTGTACGTGAAAAACAATTCTCCATTCTATATATCAACGTACAATATACACAAGCTATCCACTTTAAGAACTTAACTTCCCGCAATAAAATTTGGAAATATATTCCACTCTGATCAGGAACAACAATTCAATTTTAATTCTTTCTTTAACATATTAAAAAATAACTCGATTTTAAATAAAAGCCAGCAATCTATGCAAAGTACTTTCAAAATAATTTAGACCAACATTCAAATATCTTGCAGTCAAAAATAGAAGTTCACATCAATAAATATACTGTAGTAAACTGATATGAACTTTCCTCTTTCATTTCTGAAGTTCGTCCAATTATTTCGAAAGTACTTTACAAATGAATTTTGCATCACAATATTCATTCTGAAGTGTATGCAATAACAAGGGAAAATAAAGTATAATGATGCGTATAAAAGTGAGATTGTTCACAATATCACGTATAATATCGTATGATATAGCTAACAAACCGACTACATAATAGCTCACTTTGAAAGATCTGGTTTTGTACTCATTTCCGGAATTCCCGAGGAATTCTCCGATCTCGGGTTGCACAACCCACAACCATAAAAAACCACATCTTTCAACGAAAATTTACGGAAGACAAGTATACGAAATATATATATATAATACATAATGAGGAGTATTGATATAAATATGGGATTAGCATTACCTTGATAACCATCGATAAGGACGGACTTGTCAGAAAAAAATAGAGAGATGACATTAACAACAAGCTTCATCGATAAACAACAACAGAGAGATAGAAATGTATGATTCTCGTTTTCTGTTTACGTTTATTTTCATTTCTGCGCAATTTTCTCTACTTTTTAACGTTCTCTGCGTTTATTATGAAAACCTGTGTCTTTATTTTCATCCCCAGTAAATGTTTGCCCGTCATTTATTAAATTAAAGAAGATAATACATCTCTGTATATTATAATTATTAACATTTTTAGCACTAATATTTTTCCAAATTCAATAACATTCCGATATTTTATTAGTATCTAACACAAATTATTTTCATACTTTTGAAAAGGATTAAAGTAAGATTATAAATTTTAAAAAAGTAATTTATATATCATTTCAAATTACAATACACATGTTTTTTTTAATAGTATGACCGGAAAAACGAAACGTAACAAACATTTACCCCACAGGGAGATATCTAATCGCGTGAGAGACAATCTCCCAGAAAAAATCCCATAATGATAACGATATTTTAATCACGCTTTTTATATGACGCACGACATTAAACTTCCTTTGCGCGCGAAGTATTTCTTTCTTTTTATTTTTTTTTTTCAAATTAATCGCGACGACCACACTTACCTACTGCGCCTACTGGGTAGGCACTCAGTCCTCCTCAGTTCTGTTTGAAACAGAGAAAGGTGTACGGGATATGAGACAGTAGGTGGTGAGTCATGAGTTTACAGTTCTGTAAATCCAGCTAACGCGTAAAAAAAAGCAAAAGAGAGAGAAAAAGATAGAGTACGAATGTTTGCAAGACGAACAGTCTCAATTAACCGATAGGAAGAGAAAGAGAGAAAGAGAGGAGACTTTCTACTCGGATCTTGGTCGAGTTCTTTTTTTCTTTTCTGGGGTGTTCCGGAAATGTGTGACGGGGCCGGGTGTGCGGTCTTGGAGCCTCGATTCGCATCTTACTCTGAATTGATACTTAAAACGGAAGCAAGAGAAAGAAAGAGAGAAAGAAAGAGAAAAAGAAAAGTCACGGTGGGATCGAATCCAGCCTCCATGGAGCCGTGCGCGCACCGTTTACATTATGCTGTACCTTTCCCGTTTGTGCTTCTTGGTCTTCTTCTTTTTGCTTGCGCTGCTGGAACGCTTACGCTTCTTCTTTTCAGCAGTCGTGACGATCGTTTCCGGTACTGGTGGCGGCGTCGGACTCGGTGTACGCACCAGCTCGTAGACTTTACTCGCGGCGGCGGCGGCGGCTCGCGCCTCCGCCTCGCGCGCGTGCCGCTCTGGGTCTAGGCTACTGCCTTCCACGAAGAATTCGGAAATGCCGAATGCTTCGCGAAGCTTCGCATTCTTCTCCTGCTGCGCCTCGGCGATCTGATGTGTCTCTCGTACACTGGAAACACAAACTTTGTTAGTTTCCATGAATAGAAAGAGTACTAAAGAGACCAAGTACTATTTCCAGTAGTAAATAAATAATCATATATACAGCTATTAATTAATTTTCAGAAACTATTACAGTCATTAATAGTTTTCACGAATGTCCCACCCTTGAAAAGCTCCATCCTAATCATTGATCAATTATTGATATGTAATTATATGTAATAATGATCGATTTTACGTTTACGAAATTCTCACAGAAAGTGCATCCTGTTTTCACAGCTTTCATTTAACTTGCCACTGTGATTAAATATTTTAAGATTGATAGCTCAACACCAATAACCTAACCAATTATTAAATCGTCAATCATAAACGAATGTCTAGCAATCAAAATAAATAATCAAATTTCATACATCTAATTAGTAGCTTCACATTTTTAAAATGTTAAACATATTTTATAAATAAAATTATAGAACTACAGAATCATATCTGTTAACTCAACACAACAGAATCGTGATCTTAAACGCCATATGTTTGAGCTATCAAATTACAAATCAAGAAGAACGTGAATGCAAATTAATAATTTAATTATTTAATCAATTCACATATATTTAAATGTTGTTTATTTTCGAAACATCGCCCCACTGCATTATCTTTACAATCAAGACGATCTATAAGACACACTCGATAGTTCACGATAATACAGTGGTGAAATCCTGGACGAAAGATGATCGAAATAGCGTACCGCGTCGAAATCTTCACCGTCATCCTTTTAAAAACAATGATCACTTCTTCGAAGCTCCAGAGAGCTAGAAAAGTCTAGACTCGAAAGAGCACTCTGTATACAGTTACAAAAACGGTGTCAATCGGTGTCGTCCTTAACGGGCGTCGCGATGCTAATGATATAACACTCTGTGGGATGACTAGAATGGCAAGTAGGGGCAGAATCGCGCGAGTCTCTCTTCTCTCTCCCACTCTCCTTGTCCCTCTCTCTTTCTCTCTCTCTACTTTTCCTGCGACGATGAAAAGCGGTGAACTGGGGTTGAGCCGGGGCGAGAGCCACCCCTGCGCGCCTGCACGCACGGCGCCGGAACCCGGCGGATCAATACAATCCAGCTGTTCTCTTTTCTGGCATCCCCTTTGCGCTGTACAATTGCCATTGGCGACTTACGCCGAGTCGATCGCCATGAACAAATCAAACCCAAAGAGTAGTGAAATAAGCCATTCCTTTATTTCAGAAAGCTTTCCCATTATTATCGAAAAGTTTCATATTCTCATAAGATTACGTTTCAAATTATGATACTATCAAAATAAATCACATAAGATCAGTTCGAGATTTTTCATTATATATCTTCTCTTCTGAAATTCTCAAAATTATTTATTCTTACATAATTTATACAGTAACACAGTTTTGGAAAGGAAAAAATAATTTAATAATCAAGGATATTCTATGCATTCTAGCTTAATCTTGCTAACTATACTATTAAAATGTAAACTGTACACCGGGAACTTGAAAAGTAACTTTATATTTATAAGACTATTAAAAACGAGTGACAATTTGGTTATTTAGTCTTTGAAATCGTAACTGATAGAAGATTTAAATATTCTTTTTATTTCTAATCTATTTCATTTTACATTAACAAGATAGAAAAGCTCGAGCAAAGACAACTCCAATGTATAGTTTTAAGATTGAGCTGAAAGCAAAGGGATTCACCTGACGACGGAGCGCATGTTGCTTCGCCGTTCGGCGAGCAGGTGCAGCTGAATGCGCTGGCAACAACAGCAGTGTTGACGCTGCATCTGCAGCAGTTGCTGCTGCTGCTTCCTCTTGCCATTATTGGCCGCATAGTGCAATTTGCGTTTGCGCGAGCGCTTCAGCACCTTTTGCCGATCTAGCAGGAAATTGCCGCCTCGCCACAGCGTCTCGAAGAAAGCTCGGCCGTCAGCCGGGCCACGTCCACGCGCGGGTTTCGCGGGTGACACAGTCGCCGACATTGCCATTCCTCAAAATTCGGACGCAGTAACAAATAAGAATTTCTTCTTCGAGAAGGAAAGGATTCCTTCCAGAAATCTTTCTTGACGCAACTTGATGTAGCGTAAAACGCAAGATCGTTAGTCTCTTTTAATAATCGATTCAGTTTCGAGTCTAAAGATCTTTTTTAGAATTTTATCGTCTTTTGCTTATAGCATTATTTCTCGTAGATTAAATATCAGCAGATATTAACCTTTTTTTTATTTTTAGAAATAAAATTTTCTTTTGTGCTTGATACAGTAATATGAAATAATTGATTAATTTCTCATGAAAAACGTTTTCTGATTATTTCCGATTGTAATAATCGCTGATTGTGCAGTAGTTACGAATAATCTGTAATTTTTCTTTGGCTTCTTTCAGTTCTAATGGTCGATAATTATCTCAAGCCGCGTGTCTCATTTTTTTCATCGTTTTTTATTTTATCTAAAATAAAGGAGATAGCGAATAACATTGACAAGGTAATGTTAGGCTAATTAAATTCCAGATGTTCCGTCAGTTGGTCCACGTTGCACAAGTAGCGTCTACGACGTTTAATCCTTTCATGAAGGAAATAGAAAGGGTGAAACGGGGGTACAAAGAGAAAATCACGAGCAGAGGTAATAGCTCTTTCCCTTCCCAGTTGTCGTAGTGTCTTTTGTACGCGTTATCCCGGCTTTTCTAGCTAGAACATACAGCGATGACAACGATGATGATGATGATGATGATTACAATAACGAGTTCCGTCTCTCCCTTTCCTTATATGTCGTTCCACTTTGATATTCTTCAAGCGACTCTCATCATCCCATATCCGAATGTTCTCGAATGTTTCACAATATTATCAATGTTATTTTTATTTCATACATTCCTTATACATTCCTTATACTTATATTTTGATTTCTTATTATTACGTTCTTATTATTACGTATTATAATCATTTATTATTATGCACATAATCTTCCTATCATTATCAGGAATGAATTATCATTGTCTATATATCTTATGATATTGTTTGATTAGAATTATTGTTACGTTATTTGGATTATTGGATATCCTTTTTTCTTACTCCATATGATCGTGGAAGAATATATAGTAATACGTAAATCCTCGCATTGGAGACATTGCTGTATGCATTCTATCAGAGTTGAGGAAGACTTCAGATCAGGCACACTATTATATTATCGCCGTGCTTCTTTTTCCTGTCAGACTGAAGCAGGACGTTTTTCTTAACAATGTACTATCGACTTGTCGCAGTCGATGTTTTGGAGACACATGGATTTCGTAGAAAAACTTTTTATATTTCTTCTAAATGGAGACGCACGAAGATATATTTCATCTCTTTTAATGAAGTAAAAATTGCGAGAAGATGCGTGTGAGAAAGATCGTCACATAAGACCTTTTTTTTATAAAAACGGTTGAGAAATTTGAGCTTCCTTTTTTTCTTTTCTAGATAAATGAATTTTTCCTTGTCTTCTCTTTTTTTCAATTAAGACAATCGAATTATTTCTATATCATATATATCTCGACAAACAGTGTAAAAATTCAGATTTCTGAATTGCAAATATTGCTCTTCTATTGATCTTCTTTATTAATATAAAGTTTCATTTGATAAGTTTCTTGTTAGAAACTTCTTTTCTGAAATCATTTCAATTAATATTTAACATTCAATGCTTAACTAATGTAATATGTTTCATTAATATATCTTCTCCAAGTATATTTATATTATGAATTAGCCTAATAAAATGTGTACGAGCAATATAATTCCTTGAAGTTTTCTTCTCACTCAGAGAATCACTCGATATTCGATATTCGTTATTTTCCGTATATATCTGCATTACAATTTATTCCAGTGAAATGTACAATTCTTCTAAGCAAATTAAATCTTACAAATTTCTTTCACTCATCACTGGATCATGTAATAAATATAATAGATGATATTTTTCGTATTTGTATGCATCATACATTCGAAAATTATGCGATCTTCCTCGCAGATTTCTTTCGCTTGGTTATCACATTCAACTACGATATCTTTTGTAAGTTTGAATGACGCAAATCGTCGCTTGCTCCCGTAAAACTTTAATGCTAGACTTAAAACCTTACTTCGCGATGTATACTCGAAACTTAGCACTTAGGAACGACCTAGAGGAGCGGGATAATAATCACGCTATTAGATTATTAAATTAAGCTAATGGAAGACTTTTGTGATTTGTCCGTGGGTTCGTGCGTCGCGTCGCGTCACATGTTCCTTTTTCCGGCGGGGTCACTCAGTGTCACCCCAAATTAATCCAACCCTCGATGCACCATCCGTCGACGACACACGACGACGCGTCCACTGGCTGCGTCGTGACGCCGGTCCATCCTCGCACTGAGGCGCCGGAAAAAACTGGCTGCTGAGAGCGAGATGCTGTGTTCTCTCTTTTACCTCTTTCTCCCACTTCTCGTCCTCCTCCGCCCGGGTGTACCCCCCCTCATCATCTCTCACCCTCTTGGCGCCGGCGCTATGAGGTACGTCGATATCGCGAGTATAACACCTACCCTGTCCTCCACCGATCCTACCGAGATTGCCACGGAATGCGTCCCCGCCCTCTCGAGTTATATCTAATATAAAACTATAACTGACATTTTTCTCAATCTCAATATTTTGCTAGCAAAAATAAAACAAAATATTGAATTAATGACATCGTTAGTAATGATAATCGTAATTTGCGTTTACAAAAATTATTGATTGTATTTTTCCGGAGAATGTTTTCTTCTCTGTTATTATATATAAGATAATAAAGTTTAAACATTAAATAATCAAATATATCTTCTTGAAAAAAAGTGATACCGCTTTGATTTAACAAACTGATTAATAATGTCAATAATAATTATTTTTTATTTCATCTGTGTGTTTCTCATAATTGATATTTCTAACTTAAGACAAAAATACATGTCAATATATTATTAAAATAATACAATGTTGAATTTTTATTCCATTGCATTTCTTGAAAATTTTTTCGAAAACTTTAGTTTCTTTCTAAATATTAACTTTCTGTATGCGTTAAAATAGAAAATATTTAATTTTTAAATATGTTACAATTTCTTTTATATAGTCTTAAAATTGATTCTTTATTATATTTGTCATATTTAATTTGTATGAAAAATCGTACAATCAAAATTAAATTATAGCTACAAAAAGTAACTAGAATATCTAAAAGACGTCGTAAAGACGCCTTCTGAACGTCTCGAACAAGGATTTTCAGAAAGCACGTGAATATATTTTCTTGCGATATGATGTTGCATTTGTGAAAGCTTTCCTTCAGCGGAGATCGAATAAAGCTGTGGCAAAGAAATCTCAAGAAGAAGCTCAGACACCTTAACATCATATACGTCGTTTCGCATAGTATCTGTTCGCCGTCAGGATTATCCTGGATTTGGCTGACAGAAATCAATATGAAAAGGAAAGCTTTCCCTTAGAATTCTGTACACTAAAAATGAAGTGCTATCGCGTTTTTTATATCAATTTCTTTTCAGTTAATAAAATTATGAT